TTAGATTGTTGTCTTCCAGATGTTTGAGGCTGTATCTGGTGTTTAGACTGTTGTCTTCCAGATGTTTGAGTTTGTATCTGGTGTTTGGACTGTTGTCTTCCAGGTGTTTGAGGCTGTATCTGGTGTTTAGATTGTTGTCTTCCAGATGTTTGAGGCTGTATCTGGTGTTTAGACTGTTGTCTTCCAGATGTTTGAGTTTGTATCTGGTGTTTGGACTGTTGTCTTCCAGATGTTTGAGGCTGTATCTGGTGTTTGGACTGTTGTCTTCCAGATGTTGTAGTTTGTATCTGGTGTTTGGACTGTTGTCTTCCAGATGTTGCAGTTTGTATCTGGTGTTTGGACTGTTGTCTTCCAGATGTTGCAGTTTGTATCTGGTGTTTGGACTGTTGTCTTCCAGATGTTTGAGGCTGTATCTGGTGTTTGGACTGCATCTTAACTTAAATGTAATTTGTATTTTGTAAGTTAAGCCAGGGTAAACAGACTAAATGGTCTGACATGTTGACATTACTTCCTCATTGTCTCTCAGAGAGGAAGACGTTGGAGACACGTCGTCCTTTCAGTCCATGTGTTTGTGTTTTATCTCATCCTGAATGTTTCCTCTCTTCCTCCCCTCTCTGCCTCCGGTCTCCACTTCCTCTTCTCAGGCTCTCTTCTGACCTCCTCCTCCTTCCCGTCGCTCTTCCTTTCTTCCTGTTTGACTTCTCTTGATCGTGTTCTTCCTCTTTTACATGTGTCCTCACGTCACCTTTTATCTACTGTGGACAAACCTTCATCTCTGAGTGTTCAGGGTTTCATCTCCCGTCTCATAAATCTCCGTGTGTCTACAAGTAACTAACTATAACTATAACAATATGTCATGTATGTGAGAGTCTGCTCAGCTTTAGGCTTGTTGAATTCACTGATTATCAACAGAACTAACTTATAACTAGTAAAGAAATCTTCTGTTTCTTATCCCACCCTCGAGCTCCTAGCTTCCTCTTCCTGACTCCCTCAGGACTCCCTCTTCTTCCTCACCCTCCAACTCTTCCTCCTCTGCTCTTATCTCATCCTCACTGATTTCCTCCTCTCGTCTCCTCCTCAGTTTACTCTCTCGCTTCCTCTTCACCTCCTCTTACTTTGATTATTTCTCTTCCTTCTGGTCCGGCTGTTTTTACAAACTCTTTCGTTAACTGTCATTTAAAATGCAGCTTTGTTTTACTTGGTTACTAAAATGGGCCGTGAAATATTCAGAAACATTCATATTTCTGACGAGTCAGCGTTTGGAACATGTGTTTGTGTCCAGTGGAGTCGGAGGACGGGGCGGTGCTCTACGACTCGAGCTGTTTGGTTCTGGAGAGCGACTTCCTGTTGAGCGGCGACCTGGAGTTTGGAGACTCTGAGATCATGGGGCTGGATCGGGAGGGTCAGTGACACACACACACACACACACACACACGTCCTCAGATGAACAGTGTTGTTGTTTCTGGTTGAACACGTCTCTTCTTCTTCTTCTTCTTCAGGAATGACGGTGTTCTCTCTGAGCGTAGACGACGACCCTTCGGCACCAACAGACTCCACCTTCCCAGCCTTCCTCTCCTGTAAAGCATGTGGCCGACTGCTTGGGGACACGGCTCTGGGAGCAGGTCTAGATCTGGGTAACTGTTCCACCAGATTCACCAAACACTCTGTTTTACGCCCTTATTCTGCAAAAGTGGAACATCAGGAGCTAACAGATGTTTCTAGAGGTGGAGGAATATTGTCATACTCTGAATAATGTGGAATGTTTGGTGCAGTTCTACATTTAAGTTCTGTGATTGATATGATATCCTCTGAAGCTTTATCTCCTCGGTGGCTCAATATAAAATGTTGTTCCAGGTGTGGGTCTGGACCTGGGGGCGGAGCTTTACTGCCTCACCTGTGAGGAAGGCCTCCAGCACGAAGCCTCGCCTCAGGCGGAGGGCTCGACGGAGGTCGACGGGGCCGGCTCCGACGGGAAGCCGAGAGACGACGGCCCTCCCAAAGCGTTCACCTGCTCGCTGTGCTCCTTCACCTCGCGCTACTCCAACCACCTGAAGCGCCACATGAGGACCCACGACGGCCACAAGCCGTACCGCTGCCCCGTCTGCCCCTACGCCTCGGCGCAGCTCGTCAACCTGCAGCGCCACGGCCGCACCCACACCGGGGAGAAACCCTACCGCTGCCCCCTGTGCAGCTACGCCTGCAGCTCCCTCGGGAACCTGCGGAGGCACCAGCGCATGCACACGCAGGAGAGGCCACAGAGGAGGGAGAAGGAGAAGAGACGGGGGAGGAGGAAAAGAGGAAACGCTGCAAGTGAAGAAGGTAACGAACACCCGCAAGGACACTTAAGGAAGGAGTTAAGGCCGCTGCTAAAGATTGTCTTCATCGTTGATTCATCAAGAAAATATGTTTAAATGTTTGACCCAGTTCCTCAAAGATATTCAGTTTAATATCAACATACAACCGAAGCAGAAAGGCCTTTAGGGACTTAGTCTGTTGCTGT